CGTAACTGCAATTTTTATCTTTTTTTTTTTTTTATTTTATTTAAAAGAAATTGCTGTGAAAAAGGACAAAACCATATACAATCAAAACCAGAGATGTGAATAATCTGTTGCAAAACCATTAACCGTGCAAATATGTAGACACTGTTCGCCGATTCCAGAGATCTTTCATCACAAACGCCACGCCGGGCTCCGCCGCGTTAGCGGCAGCGCCGATGTCACAGTTCGCCGTCCATCTCCCTAATCAAAACCCTAACGAAATTCCGGACGGATTCAAAGTGTACTGCAAACAAAAACAAAATTGGCCGAATGAAAAAAAAAGAAGAAAAAAGAAAAGAAAGGAATATGAGAGATGAGAGAGAATAGAAGGAGAGTTAACGTATAAAATCCCGTGTAATCTGTCTCCTTCCCTAGTTAAAGAATAAGTTGACTTAAATTTGAATTTTAGTATATATGCAATTATGTTGGGGTGATTTGGTATCTTTACAAATAAATATTAAGTAAGTGTAAATGTGTAATATAAAATATATTTGAGAGTATGGAGTGTAAATTCCTCAAAAAGTCCACCCACAATCCATCTAAATGGGCTCAAAATACAACTCAATTTTAATATTAGCTAAAAATAAAAAAGAAAATGATTCAAGCGGATGAACAGTGGAACGGTGTGCCAACCGTTCCACAAAAATACCGGTGTCGTTTCCTGCACATATAGAGAGCCTGTTGGAGATGAATTTCCTCCAACCATGGCGCTTCCGTTGAGTAAAGAGAGCCAGGTTGGAGATGCTCTTAGCCCGGATTTCGCTTAAGTAATAGCCACTGTTCAACTTGGGTATTAACATATAACATACGGACAAGGCGGACAAAAGACGATGTAGATCTAATGATTAATAAGTAGATATATTTATTAGTATGTATAATTTTAAATTAAAATATTATGTTCTTAAAAATTATATACATAGAAATCTCAAAATATATAATTCTCGAATGTGTTGAGCTTAAATGGCAAGCTAGCATGAAGCTTATTTGACATAAATTTGTTATTCGTATTGACACATATACATGCTTGGTTAACAACTAGGTTTGGGAATTACCATAAAATTATTTTACCTTTCTTTTTTCCTTAAATTATTATATGTTGCCTTTCTTTTTTATTAATTGTCATACACTACATTTTCTTTTCATATTTAATTCATACAGTAATTATTTTAAATATTGATTCTTCTTATTTTAAAGAATTTAATTTTTTAATTTGTATATATATATATATATATATATATATGACATATAAAAATAACCATCTTTGACG